CGCCCGCACGCACGCACGCACGCACGCACGCACGCACGCACGCACGCACGCACGCACGCACGCACGCGTGCACGCGTTTCCCTGGTATGATTCCTTTTACTCAGCCGGCACACGAGCAAAATTGTCATGTGGGTTATCCGGTCCTTTAACTACTTGTTTTTGCACTTTCCGCTGCGAATATCATCATAAGGGTAACGCCATGTTGAACAATGCAAACATGCGAAAGTATCGGTCTTGCCATGCTTGTTCCAGCATTGTTCGAAGCCGGGTGAAAGACACGCAGAAACATCGGGTCTTTTGTTTTTGCTCGGCATATCATCATAACGGGGACGCCCTGTTGAACATTGCTGACATACGGAAGCATCGGCCCTGCCATGCGTTTCGCACTTTGTTCGAGAAACAAACTGGGGCAAACGACGGTGCTCCACCCTACTTCTAGTACTACTACTGATTACTACTGCTACTAGTACTGTCTTCACTGCTGCTACTGCTACTACTGCTGCTGCTGCTGCTGCTGCTACTGATGCTACTACGACGACGCTCGCGCAGATGAAAGCTCGCTGACCTGCCGAGCCAATAACCACGGGTAAACCGATAAGCTTTCGTTTTCCATGCCTCCGGCCCTCAAGTCTTTGAGCCCAGCAATGCGAGATTTCACGGTACACAGGAAGTCTCTTCGAGACCTTTATCAGGAATGCTGAACACTTCGTCTGACTTCAGGTCTCAAGGTACCTTGAGACTACTCTAAGCTTGCGTACCTGACACACGTGCACCCCTGCACCGAACTGTGCCAAGGTTCTGCGACTTATGCGGCGGCAAGTTCTTTGCACACTCTCTGCCGCACCATCGCAAAAGTTGCGAGAAGAAGGCCTTGCAACGACATGTCAAATGAAACCCTGTCTGAACATGTTCTGACAGTACGGATGACGCTCTCGAATACTGGCGTTATTTTCAATTGGCTTTGCCAATCGTCACTAGAAAAGCAGAATTGTCGAAGCTCCAGCAATCTGTGCTCTTACCGCTGCATTGAGCCCCTGTCCGTTTTCGAGGTTCAGAGCCAGATGCATGAATGCCCGTATTGCGCTGTGGCTGCACGCGGCTGAGATGAAGCCCTTCAGGTGTTGCAAAGTTCTGCAACGGCACCACGAGGTGACACAGCTCGAAATGGACTCGCATATCCTGTCGTGCAAAGTTGCGACGCTTGCAAGCACTCCGCTCCAGGGTCACACCGTGGCATGCTTCTCTCGCTGGGTCGGCCTGATGCGTGGATACCTCACAAACAACTTAGACTTTGCAGCATTGGCAAGCTTCCCGAATCGGATTGCAACAACAAACCAAGAGAAGTGGACCCATGCTACAGTCTTTAGAATCTGCTCTAATACATGATTCTGAAAAACATCGCATCGCAGAGCTCACCCGCCACAAAAGCTTGGCGGAGGGAGCTCCATGTTCAACGACGACTCATTTTCATATCAGCTGGGTCACGCCTTTGCACTGGCAATCTCAATGCATCCTAAGGAACGGCCGGTTCGGAAGTTGTAGCATCTGTGCGTAGACATGCTGCACGTGGCACGGGTGCTGCACTGCATATGGCACGTTGGCCAAGGAAGGCGGCGGGTGCCAAGCCAACGGGTCAAAGTGCCCAGCTGAGACAAAGGCTCCAGCAGGACCTTCCCTTGTCTTGAGATGTCTTGACCGAGTATCTTGTCTTCAGAATCTGCTTGGTGATGTGAAAAGGACCGTCGGGGCACTGCGACGGCAGCAAGCGGACGTTGGGTGTTTAGTCAGGGTTACATGAGGGCTGCAGGCTCTCCGCACCGCAGTGAGTTCTTTGAGGCCTGATCTCGCAAACCAGCTCTCAAGGAGCGGGGAATCTCAGCGGGCGATGGTTCTGCTTGCGGGGCAATTGAGCGCAATCGCCCAGGCACGGTGTGGAAGGGAAGTCCCTTTGAACGAGGCCTGCCACGGCCAAGCACTGCGCGAAAAGGGGAGTGGCTGATGGCTGTGGTGATGCACCACTCAGATATCTGGCCGACGGACGCCGATGGACCAACACGGTACGCCGCAACTGCTTTTTCGAAAGGCCTTCGCGAGGGTTTCTGTTGCCAGGTGCTGGCGCCGATTCCGTGCTCCTGCCATGTCCGACACAGAGTCGTCTGCAGATTTTCAGACTCGCCTTGAGTTCCAGACCCTTTTAGGCCAAGTTTGCGGCCGCACGTTTAGTGCTGACCGCATTGCGAAGCACCAGGCCACTGGGGAGAGCATTGAAGCTGAGCCGAGTGAGTAAACTTTGTCAGGCCATTTGCTTGAAAGTGAGCAAGGTTGGGACCTGATGCTCGAGAGTCTGAGCTTCCCGTTCTTTTCAATCCTGTCGGCCACAGAAGCGGCCGATCTTCCGTGCTGAGAAGCAGCGTGTCTTCATGGAGGTGAAGGGGTGATGCGTGCGCCGCACCTTGTCAATACTGGGCCCCGCTCCGTCCAGGGCGGCAGTGGTGGCAGTGTGGCTGGCACGGCCATGAGCACTTCACACAGCAGGCAAAAGTTGTGCAATCGCCGGAAGCGCCAACAAAGCATGGTGCACTTGGTTAGAGGTATCGAGGAAGCAGCAAGGCCAGATCCAAGATGTCTGTTGCAGTGGAATGGAGTGGGGCGCTCTTTCCCTGTCGGCATCCAAGGCTGCCAAAGCTGCCAAAGCGTGTGATTCAGGACTGCCTGATCCTCAAGACTCAAGACTGCGGATTGCCTTTAGGCACTTGCTGGTGCTCCCAGGCCTCTGAACACCAGGTGGCGCGAGCAAAGCTGGATCTCTCAGTTTGCCCCGAGAGCCCATGGGCGCCCTCTTGTTTCTTCGCGGGATTGTGTCTCAGGCAAAAGCTTCCGGGAAGCAATCCGAGCGGCTCAAGCCCAGGGTGAGCTCAAAAGGCGTTTGGAGAAGCTTGTTGGCTCCAGAGGCCAAAGGAGCGCCGCCAATGCCAATCTGGGGTCACAACGGTCACAATCAGCGGCCGTCTGCTGAGTTGGGGAAGCGCTTCTTTCGTCTCGGAAGATTCGTTGTGGGCCTAGGAGTCAACCTGCCAGAGGAAGCTTTCGGCAGCGGTGCCTGCCACGCCTGCACTTGCTCTCACGCCTGCACCTGCCCTATGCTCTCAGTGCTGCCGTCCGTTTCGGCTCAGTGGCTGTGGTACCATGCAAGCTTTCAGCACCTTCGAGGTTTTTTCTTCGCAAGACTTGTTCCAAGTCCAGAAGCAGCACTGCCCAGCAAATGCTAAGCTGTGGACGCGATTGTTCTTGATGCTGCAGCATGGGATAGCATGGGAGCATGTGCTGACTGGTGTCAGGACGCATCTCACTAAATTCTGTTGCGCCACTATGTGCAACAGATGCCGTTGTTTGCATCTTCCCGTGTTTCTGTGCTTTGTGCCGCAAATGCCGAAACAGGATGCCGGTGGCCGGAATTTGCACCTGTGTGAGCCAGGCATGTTTACGGCCTTGCGACGTTTGCATCCTTGGCATGCGCGAGACACGAAGCTTAGGACATCTTGTGACCTGTTCTCGCCTTTGCAGAAGCAAGTATGTCGAGGAAATGACATGTTCATACTATAGATGACACCACTGGATTCTCGTCGTGTGGCAGATTGGTTCCAAAGCTGGGGCAGGCATTAGAGTCATTCGACTGCCATAGCCTGCCATCGCGAAGCCATCGGTTGACCAATGACCGGAAAAATGGTTAGCGAAGATGAGTCTTCATCCGAGGCTGGGTGAGTTGGAGGGTGCATGGAGTGTCTGACGGCCGTCGGTCAGAGCGTGTGTGTGTATGCACGTGCAGAGTCTTCTGACAGGAGGAACAGATTAAGGAGACGTGGCCTCCTTTTATGATGTTGGCGCACCTAAGATGCAGTTAGGAGAGGCTCCGTCCGGATATTAGCTTCTTGCTGTCCGTTTTGTCAAGGCAGCTGTGTTGCATCAGCGCCATCGAGGGCATTGACATGGGCCTGTTGCCGGCAGTGACCTTTGCTCTTCAGCACGACCTCAATCTGAAAATTACGCAGATTGGATCGATGAGCTTGGCGCAGTCAGTGGCGCAGGCCCTTGGAGCACCTGTATGGGGTGTGCTGGCAGACAGAAAAGTGGCCCGGCGAAAAACCCTGCTTGCTATTGGCGCCTTCTTTCAAGGTCTATGCACCATAGCTTTGGGTTGGACAGAGAATTTGGCCATGATGATCATCATTCGATCTATCAACGGGGCTATGCTTGCAGGTTTGAGGCCTGTTTGCGTGGGAATCGTTGCCGACACCACATCAGAGCTTTCGCGCGGCAAGATCTATGGTTACCTACAGCTAAGCGTGACAGCTGGCATGATGATTGCCACTTCGGTTGGTACACCAATGGCTACCGCTTCGATCTGCGGGATTCAGGGATGGCGAGTAGTCTTTGCCCTCGTAGGAGCCTTTGCTATCTTCACGTCTTTGCTCATCTCCGTCTTCATGTTTGAGGCAAGGCACGAAAGAAGCTGGAACAAGGAAAGTCGCAAGCGATGCAGCGGAGTCACCCAAGAGATTGCAAAGTTCTGCGGCTACTTCCGCAAGCCAACTTTCGTCTGCCTAATTGGACAGGGGCTGTTTGGAGCCATTCCTTGGAATGCGTTCAACTATTCCACGCTCTATTTTCAAGTGGTCGGGCTGCCGGAAGTTCGTGCCGCCTCGCTAACGACTGCGTTTCAGGCTTGCTGTGGCATTGGAAACGTTCTCGGAGGCCAGGCCCTGTAGAGCCCTGTAGAGTACATTCCGAACCATAAAGCCGTATTGAAGAGGGACTTGTTTCACTTATGACATACACCACCATCGGCCTTTGCGGCGGAGCCATGTTCTTTCGGATTTAAAACTTGTATTGACAGCGTCTCTGAGGTTACATTGGTGATGCTTTGGCCAGGAGGTGTCCTGAACACGGGCGCGCCTTTACGGCGAACATGTCGGTCTCCTTGGGCATTCCCTGTGTCTTCCTGATCTACATGACCCAGCCGTCCGAGGACTATCAGTACATTTGGTACTTATCTTTGCTGGTGCTCATGGGTCTGACAGCAACTTGGTGCTTGACAGGGGTGAACCTGCCACTGCTGTCAGAAATAGTCGATCCAGCATCACGGAGTGGCATCATGGCATGGGAGAGTGCGATGGAGGGGGCGATCGCAGCCGTTGCGGGCAATGCAGCCGTGACATTCCTGGCTCACAACTTCTTCGGGTACGATCTGGTCGATGCGGATCCTTCCGATGCAGCACAAAGTCGGCACAATGCCGAAGCGCTTGGCAAAGCTTTGGCTTTCACATCAGTGCTGCCATGGACCCTGTGCCTGATCTGTTACATCTTCATGCACTGGGCATTTCCTTATGACAGGCGGATTATTCTGGCAGAAAGGGAGAAATACAGGGATCAGCAGGGCAGACTATTGACAGGTTCTACGACGGTCAGTGAGGATCAACTTGAACTCTGTCTGGACGACGAGGAGGACGAGAACCTCGAATACCTGCCCTCTATCGGCTGCTAGCTGCTAGCTGCTGTCAGCCAAATGCTGTAGCACAATACCACCATTGACAACAAGAGGTCAACGGGGACAAAGCATGCTGCAGGCATTAGCTACCTGTAGCGTGAGTTTAAAGACCCTGTTTGCGCACAGCACTTGAAGCGACAGTCGAAGGCCGCATCAAGGCGAGCATGAGTGTTGTGTGATGTAGCACGCCATCAGAGAGACGTAGTGTGGCACGGTGGCGGAGCTGGGCACTTGGAAGTTCCGCTGCATTCCCATGCCTCGCAGCTGTTTCCTGATGTTTTATTTTAGTGCCCCTCGACAATGCTGCCTCGATCATGTCATCGGTCATGGCTGGTTGCACCTTGGCCCAGAGCATGGACAGAGGGTGTTATGCACCCAGGAATGCAATTTGCACAGTGCAATCTGAGGTAGCATTGTTTGCACTGGCGTGGGCAGAGCGCAGAACAGTCCCCAGCCAGCTACGTTTCTTGAGCCGAAATACTGTATGCCAGGTGCGCCGAGAGAGTCCAGTGGCGCTCAGTCAGGTGTTGGGACGTTCCTGTCCGGGCTACGACCACATCCGCTCACCGGTGAAGACTTCCGCCCGACCGCAACCCGCGCCTCATCAAGCAAAGCATGTCGTTGACATCTGTGGCAATTGCAGCTGTGCAAAAGACAGCGTCCTGCTGGCAAGGGGAGTTTGTCGACCTCATGAAGCACAGCACACCCTTTGTTGACGGTTTGGAAAACGGCATTGTCGGCGACAACACCAGCTGGGTCCACTACAACTGGCCTGAGGACTAAGACTAGTGACATGTTTTGACAGAAAAAGTACGACCTTCAGTTTCAACACGCGCTCGCTGTCTGAGCCACTCCCAGGGCTTCGAAGTCGAGTTCCGACGCGACGGCTACCCTCATGCCCTGCCGAACTTCACCATGTTCGGTGTCCTCGCCGCAATTGCGTCGCCTAGAGAAAGTGCGTTGAATGTTCGAAAGCTCAGGATCTTTAAGGCAGAGCTCTGTCAAAGCCACCATCGGCCTCGGCGGTGCCTTCGTGGAGGATGGCGAGTACGCAGGGGCCCTGCGTGCTTGTGCAAAGCGTCCGCGCATTTCTGTGCCACGCGCATCTGGTGATGGTCCCATGCGGGCCATCTTGCCTAGCGCAAGGTTGCCACGTGGCAAGGCATCGGAAACATCTCGTGGGAAGGAGATGCTGAGTTTCTGCGCATGGAGGACAGTGCACTGCCAGAATCTTCCAGATTCCCAGGCTGATTCCCAGCTTCTGTCATGGCCAGACTGTCAGACTGGAGACTTTCAGGACGCCAACACTGCCAGAGTCCTGGTCCGACCAAAGAGTGGTATCTTGGCACAGTGAACTGGACGGTGGTGCTCAGCACCGAGCAAAGCTTTGTTACTCAAGACCTAAGGTGTAATTGTGCGAGTTTTCCAGACGGAAGAAGCCGATCCACTTCATGGAATCTCCTTGACCCCGGCCGCACGGCCGCACATAGCTACGCCACCAAGTCAGATTCATCGATCCGTCGAGCCCATCATGAGGTTGAATATCAGCACAACGCGACTGAGCAGCTTTTTCATCCTCGCTTTCTGCAGATGTTGAATGGCACCACCGTACTACGGTTTGCCAGTTGGCAGATGATCGAGTCTTTGCAGAAGACAGACTGTGTGAGATTGCCTCTGAAAATTCGAAATCCAGTATAATCCAGTGGAGGATGTGAAATCACAAATCATAAACGCGCCTCGGGTGGCCGAAGCCTTGGCGAATTTACGACCAAGGCCAAACCGGTCAGTCGGGAATGCACTTCAATCCACATGTTAGAGCACGGGGAACTGGAAGCCCAGCAGCCTAGCAAGATCTAGCAAGTGACTTCGGAGGACAGGTCAGCGCCCTCTTCCAAAGTTCTGGTCACCATGAATATCGCTGTTGTGCAAGCGCACGTCATACCATTTTAGTGCTGAATGTGGATCCCGTTGACCTTGCTCCCGACTCAAGACAAGCAAGAGGAACTGCCCCTTTACTTAGTGCTGCGAGTGGAAAAGGCTGACTCCAGTTCGTCCACCTGTTGTTTGGGCAACAGGTGGTAGCAGAGCTTAGGTGCTCCTTCCTGGGCCATGGCTTATGGTGGATGGCAACAGAGTTCAATTGGGTCGCAGTCCTATTGGGGCGGTTCATATGGTGGAGCTTGGCCGACTTGGTCAGCGGCGCAGGCCGCAGGATCTGCAGCAGGCGGTGGCACGGCTGGGGGTGGAGACGCGCCGGCGGTGCAGCTGGGGACCGCGACCGAGAACACGACTGGGCCGAGTGACGGCCAGTGGCAGCCAATATGGCAAGGACAGTCATGGCAGCGACCCCAAGTGGTTTGGAAGAAAGGCCCTGGTTCGGTGGAACCAGAGCACAGATGTTCCTGTGTGGTGGCGATTTGAGAGGCTGAGCAATGTGAATGAGCAGGTGCTGGGCCGGGGCGCAACTACTTGCAGACGGTGCTCGGCATCCACAACGGCATCGCAGGCGAGAAGGACATAACCCCCCTATAAATAGGTCTAGAGGGGGGGTTCACAGGGGGTCCGACCTATTTTGGGACCTATTTATGGAACAGTGGGGGGTGGTGGCGGAAATAGGTCTGGACCTATTTCTTGGATCAATGCGGACCTATTTCAAGATGCATGTTGCCCATGCATATCTATAGATGTGTCGATCTGGGTCATCGCGCCTCCGCCGAATCAAGGTCTCCGTAGGCATGGCATGGCACGGCATGAGCAGAGAGTGAGAGGTGTTTTTGCTGTCACCAACGATGCACATGAACCTAACTAACCCCGGAACCCTAAACCCCCCCCCCCCC